TTTGAATAGTAGCATCATCAATACAAATCTGAATTCTGCCAGGAGTAGTCATTTTCATGTCTGTCCTAATGAGCTTATTCTGTCTGCCTCGTCCCATAATGCAACACTGCACTTTAGTGTGAACTTCAGTTTAGAGCCACTACAATACAAAAACTAAAACGAGCAAGAAAAAAAGAAAAACAGAACAAACTGTGAGGAAGACAATTTGTTCTGAACTGAAGTGTTACCTTAATTATCATAATAATAATAAAAAGCATTGTGTTTTGCAGGTTTTGGACAGTCTAGCTCCTCTTCATTATCTAACATTTTTTCTACCACACCACTAACTGAGGTTAGTGACAAACCTGCAGCCTGTGATTAAAACACTTGTGCTTTGTGTAGTTGGGATAACATACACATGCACTAAATGTCAGAAGGACCCTCTGGAATCCCCTCAAGCAACCCCCGGTGTCCCTGAACCCCACAGCGAGCAGCTCTGCTCTATAACAGACTCTATAACAAGCTACACAAACGCTCGTCCACATTGTCAGCCAGTCTGCTTATGAATTATTGACAACTAGACAGAGCCAAGGAGTTCATGTGATCTGCTGCCCTCTGCGTCACCTGGCTACTACTGTATTCCACCTCCCTGCTTACTAACCTGCATGAAGTAACAATAACACTATAGAGACAGCAATGTGATCCACCGTTCACATGCTCTGAACGTTTATTCTGCATTGCCTCATATGCACAGATCAGTTAACATTCTTCAGCCTGCTGAGAGAAGGGAAAACATATGTACCAATTAGATAATAACAAGCCAGCTGGAATATAAGCAATGGGTGTTTAGCGATTGGCTCGGATTTGAAAGCAAACTGGATTAAGTAGGTGAAGGTATCGTGAACACCAGTAACCCTTTAATCCACCGAGTGAAGACAGGAAGTGGGAGAGAGGAGAGGCACTGCTAGTCCAGGAACAACATTAGTCAGCAGCAGGGGAATGCTGCCCGTCGGCTTTAACACACCTCCACACACAGACATGAGGTTTGTTTCATTCCAGCTGTTTTCAGTCCAACACATTTGAATTAAAGACAAATGTGTGTAGATAATAACAAAGTAAACTGTGCACCACTGCCTTCCCTGCAATTGATTTATAGATACGACTACCAAGGCCATTATTTTTACTTGTTTACTGATGATGAAGCCGCAATTGAGAGAATCGATGGAAAATCAGAAAATAAATGTCTCTGTCAGAGGAAATGACTTTTCACTAGAATTGAATCAGTCAATCACTGCAGCTCTAATTCAAATATATTGCTTTTGCATTGGACAAGATGCATATTGGTAGATTTGGCTCTACTCCAGCTTGTGCCGCTCATGTTGCATTTGAATTACAAAGCTGCAGTTTTTCTGTAAAATAATCACCCAGGGAGTCATTTAGCAAAATTTATCTATTTTCTGGAGGTATTTCTAGAATGTTCAAAGACTCTTTTGCTCATCTGATTGAAAAAAAATAATAAAATCCATCCACTAGTGTCTTTACTCAGCTTGTATACTGTACTGAGTATAATTCTCTATATTAATTTTTTTTTTATTATTTTATATTTTCAGATGATTTGGTGATTCTGGAAACAACAATCTGGTGTTTTTGAGGATAACCAGGTGTTTAATTCTTAGAAAAACTTATAATTATCTCTGTGAATGTGGGGATAATAAATAAAAGTGGGGCTCGTTCAACCCAAGACATTTTGTTGACACATATATGGACAACAATCAGGGAACCAGTAACGCCTCATGTTCGCTTGACTTCTTTAAAACAGTCGGTACCGTGCTGCAATGTGGTGAATTTGTGACTTCTGTTAGAAATAAAAGTGAAGAGAGCAAATTTCTCTACCTACTGTAGGTGTTTGACAGAAAAATGAAAAAAATAAGTGGCAAACAGAACAAGAGAGAGACTAAATATAGACAAAAACAAGGTTTTCTGCAGTTTTGAAAAAAGCAAAGTCATTAAGATCTTATATATCTATGATAAAAGTACAATATCTCCAGCGTTTGGTAAAGCTGACAGAAAACAGGCTGTACCGACGACGAGAAAACGAGGCTATAAAAGACTTGACAGCATTACTGACAGTATACGTGTTAGGTTTTAAACTTTCTGAGTGAACAGCGAACAAAAGAAGGTTAGTGAGTCAGCACAGTACAGTACAAGTACACTCAGTCTCAGGGCTCTACATGCCACTGTGATTACATTTTGTTCTCATTCAGCCTGGACAAGAGAGACAGCCACAAAAATTACTACTCTGCATGTTACACTTTTCAAAAGAGCTATAGGCTTACATAACATCCTCTGCCTTTCTGCCTGATCTGAGATGGCAGCAACTGAAGAGGCTGGCTTTCAACGCTGCAAACCGATACGGCTAGCAGTGACGGGCAACAAGGCAGCGCAGTTTTCTCATAAACCCATTAAGATCGGATAGTTGTCATTTTTGGGATACCCACTATGCCAGACTTCCCCTCGCTCTTTGCTCCTTAACATCACCGCTCATCTCATAAACAGCACCAGAACCTAATGTCTTTTTAAGGTAGATCACTGGAAATGACTGATAATCTGATATGATAAGTGTGCTTATTTTCCGAGAGACATGATTATTAATGATGCATTTTCTTTAACAAGTGTTCCATTTCAGATTGCTGGACTGCTACCGTATGGGTGGAAACAAACATTTGATAATTTGCTGCATCTGTGTACATGGTATTAAAGACATGGAATAACTTGTAAAGCTGAACACTTCTTGCCTTTTTCCTCATGTCAGCTTTTTCCAGCTCATGGAAACCCTCAATGAAAGACAGCGATGTATAGAAAAGGATGGATGGAAGTTTTATTGGGTGTTTTCACAGTCTGCCTAATTCAGAAAACTGGCTTCACTTTATATAGTTTTGTCACATTTTGAGATGCTGGACAGATTATTATTTACTTTTTTTTTTTCTAATAACAGAACTTTTAAGTAAAGCCGTAATTTACCTTTAGTTTAATTTTACAGAAGTGGTCAGAGGAAGCATCTCCCATCATACCACTGGCTTTCAGTATTGATTGATCCGTCATAAAAGGCACCGTATTGACAAACAGATAAATGTTCCTAACCTTAATCTTAAGCATTCAGCAGTCTCTTTGCATCCGGGTTTTCGCAGCAGCAATGCAATCAATTTAACCCTAACCCATTTGTCTAAAGCAGTTATCCGGGACCAATTACAGCAGCAGACCTCATCAGCATCCCACATCCTACCAGTCGCAAGGCTTTTCTCCGCATGCCTCTCACTACATGGCTCCATTTCACCCTCCACACAGCAGGGATTTCATTTAATCAGCCATTTGCAACAGTTGGGAGGCTCCGTCTAAGCCTCAGCTGAGCACGGAGCTGTGGTATGAACCTCGCCGGCACATGTGAGCAGGGCTCGCTCGGTCTGGATTATTGTCAAACACATTACCGTGGAGCCTAATGCAACCCGCGTCCATATAGACCGGCTGCTCCACTGCTGCCCATCGATTCGACTAGCAGGGAGAAAACAACTGGATTACATAATTCATGTGAGCGGCCGCTCCATTTGCGGTGCTGTTCAGCAGCAGGAGAGGTAGCATAATAAATGAGAGTGAGCGGCAACATGAGCGATAATTGCTGTTTGTCTGCATTTCTTGGCATGTTCTGTCATGAGCAGATATGTAGCCCGGTGCTGCATGATGGTGATGTAACTCCGCCTTTCACTTGTTTAGGAGGCAATCTGATTTGTTGATTGAGAGGTGGTTGTGTGTAAACAGCATCAAAATACTTTCTCTCAGAAAATATAGAGGTTATTTTAAGCCTCTTAATTGAACATTAAGAGGCACTTTTATGAACAAAATTACATTTTTTTTTACTCTCTACATTAAAGTGCATGGCAAAAAAATTATGAAGTAGTCAGTTTATGTCATTTACGGGGCTCTGCACTTCAAACTGCCATTGATTTATGTGGAAATATATTCAAATATCCCAGTAAAATGACATTTTACAAACGTTTTCTGCTCTCCAATGTGGATTCCACAGCAAAAAATGAAAACAGGAGGGGTTTTGGTTGACTTGAGGGGCTCTGCACTTCAAACTAAAAGGTATTTCTATCAGTAAAACTCCCATTTTAGTCTCTATGGGGAATTCCACAGTCAAAAAAATCCTGTAGGCAGGTTTTGTTTTTGTTATTTGATGGGCTTTTCAACAACTATTGTGAAAACAGAGGCACTTATATGAGTAAATTAACTTAAAATACACTTTTAACTCTGGATGATGGATTCCAAAACACACAATATTTAGATTGCTCTTTTCCAGACACTCAAAGATGCTTTTCAAAGCACATAAAAATAAATAAAATATAGCGGTGAAAGGAAAATAAAAGTCAGTAGGGTGTTGTGTCATTTAGAGGGGTTTCTCATTCAGGTATACTTTACATTACCGTGGTTTTAATTTTAGGAATAAAGGCACTTATACACACTTTGGGTACATTTTTGACTCTCCAGGTTTGATCCACAACAATTAAAGCAGATTTTATGCCATTTAAGAGCCTCCACATTACAATCTACCACTGTTTTCTCCATGCATATCAATGAAACTACCTTTTAACTATATTTGCAGCCCTTCATTGTGATTCTTGCTGCAACAAATGTGTGATTTTATGTCATTTAAATGAGCTCTGAACTCCACTTCTCTTCATGTGAGAATCAACTTCACCACAAAACCCTGTGAGAAAATCAAAGTTGGAGGTGTTTTTTTTAAGCGTTTCCCAATCGTTTCTCAATGAGCCTCTTTCCACTCCCTTTCCAGAGTGAAACTTAATCCGGATGAGTAGCTGCTTCGACGGAATTTGAGACCAATAGTGACCAAACAAGAAAAAAAAAAAAAAAGTTCACGCATTTTCTCTTCAATTTAAAGCGCGTCGGTGCCTGCAAGAAAACAGTGAAACCATGTGAGGAGGGGAAAAAATAAAAAATAAACTTACATATCGGCTGATGAGGGTCCGAAGAGTGCTGAAATCCATCCCCATCTTGTTCCTCCTTCCTCTCCGGACACTTCTCCTTGTTTCTGAGCGTGTTTTCCTCTAACGGGCACTTGGCTGGCGGCGCTAGCTTCTCCTTAACTCTCCTCCTTTGTCCATGACTTTCTCTGGGCTCCTCTTCTTCCTGAATTAAGGAGAGCTCGGTGAGACTGAGCCGCCGTGTGAACCTGAACTCACCTACAGGCTCGTACTCGCAGGGGGAGTGTCCGCGTGTCCGTGTTTGACTTCACTTCGGGCTCACTTTGGGGCTCAGACCGGAGTCCTGCTGCTCCTCCACGGCTCGCTGATATCCGCCTCCCCTCGCGCTTCGCTCTCCCCCCCACCACCACCACCACCGCCACCTCCGCCTTCCACTGCGCGTGGACTTAATAATCTTCTTGTCTCGCGCCGCGGCCAAAGGAGATTTGCTTTCATGTACGTCACAGCCAGGTGGTGGCTCGAGGTGAACGCATGCGCGCTCTAGTGTTGCTGGTGGGTAATTGATTGGCTGTTTCTGTTAATTATAGCTTATTGATTTGTTTGCTTGGGACGCGGGCGTTGCGTCGAATGCAAAATGGATGTTGACTTTAGTTTTTTTTTAAAAAGAAAAAAAAAGTTAAAAGTAGACGCCATTTTTGTTTGTTTGTTTGTTTGTTTATATAAGGCAGAGGAGCTGTCCAAGTTTGAGGTACCCCAACACCCCGATGGCGCTGTCCACTCCCAGGGTGCTGAAATAATAAATTATGACTCAACAAGTGTCATACACATCTGCTTTTACCCATGTGTAAGTTCAAATGCTTCATTAGTTAATTATTTTGTTTAGCATCTAGTAGGAAAACCAAGACAACTTTAAATGTTGGAGTTAAGGACCTACTGTGTTATTTATGGTGTAAATTCATACTCATATTTGCATATGAATTAAAACTCAACAACAAATTAAACAAAATACAGCTGTACCTGACTGTAATTACTCGTAATTGTTTTAATTTTAAGATAAGATAACATAGAACTTTATTCATTCTGAAAGGAATTCTTGTGCCAGATATTGCTCAGAAGGAAAAAATGAAGTGAATAATAGAAAATGTAGAAAAGCAAAAATGTTCTTAGTATGATACATTACTAAAATTAAAATAAGCAAACAAAATTAAGGCTGGATTTCAAAAGTAAAAAGTTACACAAGCAATGATTCTGAAGCAGTAAATTAATATTACACATATTAACATAATATTGCACATTGTGATGAAATATTTCACATAAAGTTGGAATATTGTACAAGAAAAAAATATTGCAGCTTGATCATTGACTACTTTAAATATTAAGGCAAGGACATTAAATTATTAATAATTAGGTCAATAAAATGGAATCATTTTGAACAAAACTTGTGACCCCACAAAAATAAACACAACAATGTGATTCCTTGGGTCCCCTAGGCGCAAATTTAGTTTTTATTTACATTTTTATGTGTAGTGCTTTTTTTTTTTCTTGTTCCTTTTGTTCATTAATTCATTCATTTATTCGTTTAGACTGAATTGTCAAAAACGCAACTAAACCGTCCATTCTTGAAATAAAGGGCCAGAAAGACCAAAAAATATATATACATATTCCTTCCTTTCATTATTGAGTCGACATTTTTTAATAAATACAGAAGTAAAGGCGATCAACACAATCAATTCGTAACTGTTGCTGAGGTCAGAAGGGTCAGAACCAAAATCCGCGGTGCTCCGTTTCAGGAGGGAAATATTTTCATTCAAATGTCCATCCGCTGTTTCCTGGAGACGCGTTTCGGCGGGTTCTGTTGAAACACCCGAGTAAAGTTAACCATAATAACAACAACCGTTTCTGATTTTACCTTTCAAAATAAAAAAAGACAGCCGCGGTGTTTTAAGCTATGACGCAGACAAAACAAAAAAAATAGCACAACGCTTACTGTACAGAATATTTTTAGACTCTCAATTCCTCGGGTGGACTGATGGAGACTTTGTTAAAGTTTTACATCAAGGGTGACTTTAAGCATTTTAAATAATTCATTCTTGTATTACTAACAAAACAGCTGCAGGAATGCTATTTGTCATGCAGCTTTATTGAACTTAAAGCTTCTTTCATGTTTGGTCAAAAGTTCTGTCATGCTTTTTTGTTTTTCAAATGTAGATGAGGATTCCTGTGGTTGTTTCAAAAGTCTTAAAGGATGCAAAAGTTAAGAACAAAATATACTGAGAGACACTAAATGGTCTAAATTGGCATTTAAAGGGTATATTTTATTTCGGCTTTTTCTCTTTTATGTGGCTTGGATGGCAGCAACAACACATTCACACACATATTTAGATCGTACAAAAGTTCATATAGAAAAAATATGCCTTTATTTCGCATAGGCAATAGTTAATTTAAATAAAACAAGCAACAAAAGCAAAACCTAGATGTGATCAACCAGTGGTTTGTCAAGAAATAAAATGACTGTAGTTTTAAAAGGTCAAAAGCAGCTATGGTCAAACCACTGATTTAGTAAAACAAGTGGAAGCATTAACAGATAGATAGATAAATTTGATAAAATAGTCAAAACCATTGAAAAAACTACTAATTACAATTATTCTGCATTTACGTTTCTTGTTCATCCCCCTTATTATGTCAACTTTGTTCGGAAATTATTTAGCTTTAACCATCTACTTAAAATCCCATTGTAGACTGAACCTAATGATTGACCTCCTTTGTTTAGTTTGAGTTAGTCCTGTGTAACTGAACTTGCTACTCCTGATAATTCTGCAAAAATTTCACAGAACAAGTTAGAAATTCTATGCTTTTATTTTGAAATAAAAATAGCGCTTGTCTCCTCCTGCGTCCTGCTGGCTTGACTTAGCTTGTCAAAATGGCGTTGTTCGTAGTGGGAGGCTGGAGTTAGTTCATATTATTCAGTCGCAATTAATTAATTATTGGGCAGCCTACGACACGTTTGCCACGGACAACATGGCAACTCTGGATCAGAAATCACCCAACGTCCTTCTCCAGAGCCTCTGCTGCAGAATTACGGGGAAAAGCGAAGGTACATCACTGAACGCTAGCATGCTCCGCGCTAGTGCAATACTTTGCTATTCGAGGGGAAATGTCACACCGAACCCCATTCAAAAAACCGGCTTTTTATGAATGCTCTTCCTATTGTGAGTCATACGTATCTCACACAAAACATAAAAACACCGGGTGAATCCTTAGCGTCGACTGGTTAATTCGGCATATAGATTTATCATCAGGAAGCTATCATTTCATGAATAATTCAACGATTTTCACAGCGTGCGTCTGTTAACCCGATATGTTTTCATGACGAGGTATAGGGGAAAAACGGTTGAAGTTCTACTGAAATAACTCCCGCTTACTCTTTCTGGCATAGCCGAACTGAAAATAGCATATTATTCATTATTTTACCGGTAAACAAGCTCACTCTTATACGCCGCATCACCCGAGGGAGCTAATTAAGAATAGATTTAGTGATTTTGGTAGCTATCACTTTAGCATGTAGCGGGGCTCCCTCCACGTAGCTGTCAGTCGGTTGGTTAGATGCTGCACATCAGCTTCGTGGTGCCTCCACTGTTAATACAGCTGGTTTGATAAAGTGGGTAGCTGTTTATTTCAGCTGTATGTAAGCTTGCTAGCCACTTAGCTCTCACGCTGATCAGGGTAGTGTTTGCATGGCTATTGGATGCTGTGGAGTCCTGGCTAGCTGCAGGCCCCTGCTGGGTACAGACATCTCAGAGGAGGGTTAGCATGTTTGATGAGAGATAGGTGGGAAAATATCAGCCCTGGCATAAACACTTTGCAGTTTGGCAAGAGTGGATCCCTCATGGAGTGTTAGCCACACCAACTGAGTCCCATTATTTACTCTGATCTTCTAAGGAATTATGAATTTACACCTGCATCCTGTGCATATGCAACTTTTTGAAAATGAATATTAAAATGGAAGGAAATGGCAGTATAAATGCACCTGATCCCTACTGCATTGCCTCAAAGTGCTACCCTTTTTCCCATGACCTTTACTCACCACTTGATATTTGTGTTTCCAGCTGAAGTTGCCCACCAGTTCCAGTATGCGGTGCGAGTCATTGGCAGTAACTATGCGCCCACTATTGAACGAGACGAGTTCCTGGTGTCGGAGAAGATCAAGAAAGAATGTAAGTGGACTAATAATAACCCCCGTCCCCTTGTGATGACAGATTTCTAGAGTAGGTTGCAGGACCGCTGTAACACATTTCTCTCAGTGTCTTGCTTGATTTGTGGCATCTGAAGCCGAAGCGACGTCTGTCTCTGTTGCACTCAGGTATTTTTTAATGTGTGCTCCCTGTGTGCGCATTACTTTTTAAGCCGGAGCCACTCCACAAAGAAAACCTTTATTGCACCGTCAAATCCCCCGCAGACTTTTAGAGTAACCAAGGTAGCACCATTAGTGGGAAAACATTGATCCGAGCCATGATGCAGACAATAAAACAAAAATAGCAACGACGCTTACTGTACAGAATATTTATATAATCCCAGTTCCTCGGGTGGACTGATGGGAAGTTTGTTAAAGTTTTTAAAGAGTTCCCATAAAAACGATGACTGGATTTCGGCATTAATTCTTAATGTGGTTAAGTCAGATGTTTAAATAGGTTTACCTTTATTTTATTAAATAATTCATTGCAGTAATACCAACAAAAACAGCTGCAGGAGTTCTATTTGTCATGCAGCTTTACCAAACTGAGAGCTTGTTTCATGCCTTTCTGTTTTTAAATGTGGATTCCTGGGGTTGTTTGGGTTTCAAAAGTTCTTAAAATATGTAAAAAATTAAATGATGACTGTCTCATTAATACAAACACTAGAGGTCTTTTCTTATTTATAGCAAACTCTGCGGTCTGTCGGATTTTCCAGACACAGACACATCTCAGTCCCTCAGCAACTCAGTTTTTCTTACTCTGCAGTTTCAAATCCCAAACACACAGTTCGTAGAAGTTTTTTTTTTTTTTGCCATTATTAAACCTGTTCAGCTCAGGAGCATTTCCAACTTTGAAATCGTTTTAATGAGCAGGGGGACACCCGCGGCTGACAGAGTTTGTGTTGTGATGCTGTTGCAGTGCTGAAGCAGAGGAGAGAAGCAGATGCTGCTCTGTTCTCTGAGCTGCACAGAAAACTTCAGACACAGGTTGGTGTTTGTGTTTCTCTCAGAACTGTATTCTTATCACCACACACACACACACACACATACACACACACTTCTGGCACAACAGTAAAACTATGATGGAGAAATTTTCCCACTTGACTCAAGATACAGCACAGACTAATTTCATTCGGTTCAGATTAAGCTGAAGTATTGCTCATAGTATCATAAATTAGTTTATATATAAATTGATCATATTTTTCTGCAGATTATGATCTTAGTTTGTTTCGAATGTTATGTTTCTCGACTTGTATGTGGATTTTTGTTGTTTTTTTCCCAGGGTGTTTTGAAGCATCGCTGGTCGGTTCTCTACCTGCTGCTGAGCCTTTCTGAAGACCCCCGCAAGCCATCCAGCAGGGTGAGACACACACACACACATATAGTGTCTATTAAGTATATTTGTGAAGAGAAAACTGACTGGAGACTCGCTACCTTCTCCCAGGTTGGAAACTATGGAGCGCTGTTCGCCCAGGCCCTCCCCAGGGACGCCCACTCCACCCCGTTCTACTGCACCCGTCCCCAGAGCCTGGCCCTGGGCTACGGGGAGAGGAGTGCCGGCCTCTCCGCCAGTGTTGGGACCAGCGGGATTTCCAGTCTGGGAGTCTACACACTGAACGGACCCACACCGACGCCACAGTCCCTACTGGCTGGGTGAGTATTTTCATCAGAACTTCTGCACTCTAGTGAAAGAGACAGTTTAGATTTTTTAAAAACATTTTTTCAACATAGCAATAGTTTTAATGGATCTTTACGGAGAGACTTCATAAAGGTCCGAATGCATTTAAGACTCTACTGTGAAACGTTTGCCAAACCGATGCTAAATTAATCAGCATCTCTTCGACAGTGTAAACATTTTCTCTTTACATCTTTAAACCTGATTCATTTGTCAGCTGTGCTTAAGCGCGTTCACCTGGGGAGAGCCACGTTATTAATCTGATGTTCTGAAAAAGCATCGTGCCAGATACAAGAAGCATCAATTAGCAGCAGATAATGAGCCTGCCTCTCAGCCCTGACCTCTTATCACACTGTTTTATGAAGCATCAGAAGGCCATTTAATTCCATTTATCCTCATTAATAATGCAGGACTCCTTCAGTTATAAATGACCATCGAGCTGCCCGGGCTCACCTCTGAGTCACGAAAGGGCAACTACTCACTTCAGAAACAATAGATGTCTGGGAATTAGGTTAGAATTTACACTCTGGACCACACGCACAGCCGTCATTATATAAAGATGTGCACTCAACTGGTCCTTTTAAACTAATTTATTTGCTCTTCCGGCATGTTTTGGGGAGCTGTGATGGTGGAACACCTCTAAATGTTTGCTAATGTGTTGGTATTGATTGGGGAAGCCACTGGTAACTCATACTGTTGTTATATAGTTTTATTACTTTTGCACATTTTATACAAGCTATAATACTTCCTAGAAAAGTAAAGCCTGTTTATTGTAGAGCTTGAGCTTTATGGAAAAACACTTATTCCGTGTTCTAGTTACTTCATGAATATTGGACACAATACGTTAAAGAGACACATGGCAGCCAGTTTTATCTTTTCTAGGATCTTTTAAGTCAAACATATACTTTGAAAGTTTCTCAGCCTCTTTCCAAAAAGGTAATAATATTGGACATGAAAACAATGTGTGTGTCTGATTGGATGGAATACAGTTATCACAAAGGAGGCATTTCAGGACATATTCCACACTGTGTCTTACCCAGGATTTACACCCTGTTGTGTAAATGGTGTTACAAATTCATGCCTCCTTCTGTGACAGTCACACTTCTCCTGGTGTCTCACGCGGCAATGCTATGCCATGCTGTAAATCAGTCAGAATATTTAACTGAAGTTACGTTTAAAATTATATTGGAAATCTAATCGGAATATTTGTCAGAAAAATCACAATTCCACAAATCATTTATCCCTTGTTTGAGTGTAGTTTGCTGCTTCTTCCTCACACCTTGTCAAGCAACTAGTTTCCCTTGTGCCACACATTCTTGATAGCTTTTAATTTGATGAGCTGATTTTGTGTTGTAGATTTCCATCTTTAGCTGATAAGACACACATCTAGCCGAAAAAGTTTAGAAGTATTTAGTTTAGTAGGTTTCAAGGTTCTGTCTGACGGCTCAGTTTGAGAAAATACTCAACCAAATTAACTGTGGAGAAGATGACACAGATTTTACAGCAACCGTAGCCTTTTGAAATTCAAGTGTAGACTCAAATCAGAGCAAAATTGCATGACTGAGGCTTCTGAGATGGTACCAACGCTTTGGCTGTGGTTTGAGAGAATTTTCTGAGCACGAGCATTATTCTGGCCACTAAGTGGTATAATAGCATTCAGTGCTTTCTTCTCTGAAAATTGCCTCTGAAACTGCATTTAAACCATAAATACATATTGTAAAATTCAAACAAGCAAACTGCATGTTATATTCCAACGGCAGCTTTGTAATTTCCAGGCGTTGGTACAAAAACAGTGCACCAACCACATCATATATTAAGAGTAAATGTGTCTGTGTTTCAGTCAACCTCCTCAGTCTGCAGCTGGAGGCGGTCAACCTCTGGGCTCTCGGTTAGCCTGGGCTCTTCCTGTAAGCTCCTCCCCCTCCTCCGCTCTGGCCCCGCCCACTGCTCGGCCACCGCTCGGGCCTCCGGTTCCCGCCACCAGAGTCATCCGTCCTCGACGAGACGGCGATCCGGCCGGTAAGTGATGCATATAAAAACAAAATGAAACAAAGCCTGGATGCGGCGCAGCTTTCAGGCTGAACAAAAATGTCCATCACACCGAAAGAGATGAGTTGTATGTAATGGATTTACTATATAGGTGCTTTTACAATTGATAATAAACAGACTAAGGTAAATGCATAAAATATTGCATTTGCGGTAGTGCACAGCTAGACTCTGAGCATCTTTTTGCTTTCATCCTCATCGTAAAAGCTTTTTTTCTTTGCTTTCATCTGCTTTCATAACAACAGAGCTACAGGCCCACTGTTGTCTAACATCTCTCTTTTGGTTTATTTATCCAAGAAATGCAGAATTACTTTACTTTGTTCATTTTAACTCTGTTTTTGGAGAGCACAAACTGTGCTTCTGATGTGCGCTAAACTCTCTACATTCCCGTCCTGTGCCGGTGCAGGTGAGGTGAGCGAGGCGGCGCTGGTGCGTGACATCCTCTACGTCTTCCAGGGAATTGATGGCAAGTTCATCAAGATGAACGCCCAGGATAACTGCTACAAAATAGACAGCAAGGTACCTGAACCCGCATCGAGCCTCGGAAAGCTTTTAATAGACTAATCAGTTCAGCAGGGTTGCATTTATTACCGAAGAGTCCAGTTCAGGTCATCATCTTGTAATGACTGCTGCAAGGTGAACAGAGAGGAAGTTCAAGGAGGAGAATCTTAATTGTTCACCTCCTCAAAGACCATTTTTTCATATTAGGCAGAGTGGAAGTTATCTGCCACGCATCCAGAGTAGATGTTATGATACCAAGACTGTTGTTGATTGGACTTCAACAGAACGATTCAACAGATCAATATGAAGCTTTTTGGCTCCAAGCCGCATCGACCTCTACGTTTTCTATCTTCTGTCCGTCTTGTCAATTTCTTTTACTTCCCCGCTCCTCCCTCTTTGTCACGTTATCGATGGGAAGGCCGTAGATGGAACTTGTCCTGTGTTCACTCAGTGGCACTAAACATAGACTTGTGGTCAATCTGCTGACACTGGAGCCACAGACATAAATTAGTCAAGGATGGAGATATTTTGGCTTCTTCTTTGGCCACTTAACTTCTCTGTGAAGCTCCACGGATAAAAGGTTTTGTTAAACACATGAAAGTTTAATGCGTCCTTAAATGTAAACTCCCCTCCGGCTGGAAAACCAATCTGTTGCCTGCTATAGAGGGCGCATTATTTAAATTCCGGTAATCCCTGTGACGTAACTGTCAGAGCTTTCCAGATGAGAGACGTTGAAGATGATACTTGCTGAAAGTGTAGTTAAGATTTTAATCAACATACAATTACAATGGCTCTTATTGACAAAGCTAAAGTTGTGTTATGTGGAAAAAAGTTAAAATAATAAAAGTAAATATTAAACTAAACTCTGATTATAGTTGAGAGCATATATTAAAGCAAACACTGAAAAGCCTAGGAAGGTCACCGCCTGGTATCAGAACAGCTTCAGTGCTCCTTGACACTGATTCTACAAGTTCATTTGTCACCTGTCTGTAATTTTTACATGTCAATATGAATTATACCTGTCCTTTTTATCATGTTTACGTGTTGCTATGTGTGCTGTGCCTCACTAGGTGGTGCTGTGCAAGTCCCTCAGGGACACCAGCAGCCGACTGGCCGAACTCGGCTGGCTCCACAACAAAGTCAGGAAGTACACCGACGCCAGGAGTCTCGACCGGGCCTTTGGATTGGTCGGACAGGTGAGCCCACATCTGCCATCTGTATTAACTGCCCTAGCTGGATCTATTTTCTTTCTAATCCTCGACTACTTTGTTGCCACTTGTGTCTCTCCTCAGAGTTTCTGTGCCTCGCTCCACCAGGAGCTGAAGGAGTACTACAGGCTCCTGTCTGTCCTGCACTCACAGGTAAACAGATTAATGCTCACAGAGACCAAAAATGTTCAGAGGTCGATCACATAAAAAGATTTTGGACATGATTGTGCTGCAAACAAACACGTTTCCATTATTGTGAATGTCACAAGAAATGTACCTGTTTTCTGAATTCAAACATCACCCTGAAGGAAACGTGTCATCTCAAGTCTCAGTTATTTCAAATAAAATGAAAGATTTTAGAAAATGTTATGCCTTGAGACAAACCTAGTCAAACCTGTGTGTTTGTGTTGCAGCTGCAGGTGGAGGATGACCAGGGTGTTAACATGTGCACAGAGAGCAGTTTGACTCTCAGGAGACTGCTGGTCTGGATGTACGACCCCAAAGTCCGACTTAAAACGCTGGCCGCCCTCGTCGACTTCTGCCAAGGTAGGCTGGATGTGGACTCGGGCCTGTATCAGGACGGTTAACACTCCATACTGCAGGGGTGTCGAACTCTGGTCCTCGAGGGCCGCAATCCTGCATGTTTTAGATGTTTTCCTCTTCCAACACACCTGATTCAAATGATCAGCTCATCATCAAGCTCTGCAGAAGCCTGATAACGATCCTGATCATTTGAATCAGGTGTGTTGGAAGAGGGACACATCTAAAACTTGCAGGATTGTGGCCCTCGAGGACCGGAGTTCGACACCCCTGCCATACTGGGTGTTGTATTTGAGCATCAGGTGAAAAGTAATGTATCTACGCTGTGTCATTCAGGTCGTAAGGGAGGCGAGCTGGCTTCGGCGGTCCACGCTTACGGGAAAACTGGAGACCCACAGATGAGAGCGCTGGTTCAGCACATCCTCAGCCTGGTGTCCCACCCCATCCTCAACTTCCTCTACAGGTGGATATACGACGGAGAGCTAGAAGATACTTACCACGAGGTACACACTCCTTTCTAATCTTCTCTGTGTGTCTGTTTTTTCTGGAAAATCTTCAGCACAACTCGTCTCACACACTACATAGTTGCGACGATACTCAAAAGCTGTAATTATAATCAGCCGCAATGTAATGCGGTGCATCCAAAGCTTAATGAGTGAGCCGAACGCCGGCCTCCCTGAGGTGCTTTTTTACAAAGGATTTACTGCTCATTTCTGGAAGATTGTTCCCTCCAACTGCTCTGACGTTTGACCCCAATGAGAGAGAACATTACTGAGAGAGGGAGGGAGGGGGAGAGTGACAGAAATAAAGAAAGAGAGGAGAGCTAGGACAGCCTCTTAAATGAGAACTGATGAGAGGAGTGTAATGGAAACCACGGTGATGGATGTGTCTCCTTTACTTCTCCGTGCCCTTTCTCTCTTGCTGTTTCCCCTCACACAAACACTGTTTATGTCTCCGGCATTAACCGTTACTTAGCCGGTTTTAATAGCTGTGTTTAAGAGCACAGAAATGAAGTTATTGCACCTTTCAGGAAGCAGGAGATCACAGACACAGTAGGTTTAAACACATGGAATAAACTACAGCTATAATTATGGCTAACAAAGGCCAAAATGACACAACTGATAAATGGCCAGATTATAATTTATCTGTTTGCATGAGAGGAGAGTTTGTTTATTCTCTGTTAGCACATTTAAACATATGCAGCCTTTTTCTTGTTTATAAATGTGATATTTGCGTGTCTTTGTGGCACATTTTTCATCTTAAAGAAACATGAGCTTTTTAACATATCACGTAAACAAAAGCAGGACCTCCTAGAGTCAGATATTAGTCAGTTACCTGCATCATAATGATATATTACCACGTCATCTTATTACTATTTCATGTTAATTAAAATTTTAAAACTGTTTGCTAACTATTCATCAAACTAGTTGTGTGGTTTTGTGGTTAAAAATGATTTATAATTACAGTGTAACCTTGATTTTAAGCAAATCTGTTCAGCTCAAGTCCACTGTATCAGATAATATCAGTAAATACAGAACTAAAAAATACAGAAGCTAAAATCTAACAGTTACAAAAGGCCAATGATCTCTGTTGGTGTATTAAAGCTGATATTTAAAACACATCCTCGTGGCGTCTATCGAGAAATTCTTTTGGCTTCTTCAGATGCTGCTTCATAGAGATCTCTTCAAAGTGACCCTGACAGTTGGAAATGTATCAGCCGACACAGAGTACACATCCTTCAGCTCTCCCATTAGAAAGCCAGCTGAGGCTACTGTACTGCTCTCTGAACAAAACGGATTACCTAAGTGAATGTGACAAAGGATGAAAACCTCTGTCATGGAGCTATTTGTTCGCTGTTTGACCCTTAACTTCATTCTTGTCATAAGCTACATGAGAGTCCCATTCATTCCGAAGGTGTCTTGCTGTTAGATCGTGTGATGTTAGTCAGGTTTGCAGGAAATAAATCTCTATTTAATTAAAGCGTACTACATACAGAACTATAGTGAAAGTATCTGAAGTTGGTGTGTGTGTGTGTTTGTAGTTCTTTGTAGCATCAGACCCCAACGTGAAGACCGATCGTCTGTGGCATGACAAGTACTCCCTCAGGAAGTCAATGATCCCCTCGTTCATCACCATGGACCAGGCCCGCAAGGTGCACACACCATCCCAGATTTCTTCTCGCAAACAACTTTGTGCTACGACTGCAAAATTGCACTAAGACAACTTGCTATCTTCTCCCTTTAGGTTCTGCTCATCGGTAAATCCATCAACTTCCTGCATCAGGTTTGTCACGACAGGACGCCGCCGGGCAAGATCACACCGGCGTCCAAATCTGCAGACACTCCCAAGGATGGTAAGAGTCTCGGTTTGTCTCTCATGCTGTAATTGTTAATAGGAAAACAGTTTCACAACACTGTAATAGCTGGATTTGTTTTGTTTTGTTCCTCTGTAACACCTCATAATGGGACATTTGATGCAGGGTAGAAATAACATTAAGAAGAAACAAAAGCACACTGAAAGTCAAAAGAGCAATAGTAATAGCATTACTGGCCTTTTACATAGAAATAAAATATTGTTTTGTTTTTCGTCTTTAGCGGTGAGTTTTTTTCCAGTGTTGTTATTGAATCAGGTACACAAATGACATCATTGACTAATAAGACGCCTGTTTTTTTTTTGTTTCGTCCTCGTCATATTGATAGTATGATATTGACGCATGCTAGTGGACTGGCAGTGATCGATGCTCTTACCGCTCACTGGCCTCGTCCTTCTCTTCTTTTGACTGTGGAGAGGAAAGAGGTATACTTAGCCATATTCTATTGATTCAGGCTGTAGGACTTGATCTGACCAGTTTGATCTGGAGCTTTTACTGTACGAGCTGAAGGGCTGGAGAGGATATTTTCATCGCTGACTCTGAGTCCAGTCAGATATTTAGTACTTTGTCGCCTTTTCTTTTCTATTTTTGGTTCAAGTAGTAAATGTGTCTGTTTCCTTTGTTAGTTTTTGAACTAATAAAGAAAAAAGAGAGGAAATTTTATTATAAGATGTAAAAACAATGCATTTAAACCTTGCTTTTTCTGTTTTAAAAAAAAGTGAGTATATACAACAGCTCCAAAATGAAAGCTAAGTAAATGTTTGAATAATTATTTTCATAACCAAGATAAAAACAATGCATTTAAACCTTTTAAACCTTTAAAAAAAAAATGTAGATATATTTTTTAAACATACTTTTATTTTCTTCATCTTTTTTATTTTTTATTCAAAGAGAAATACAAAATGCATATCAAACAAGATCTCGGGTCTTAAGAGGTTAAGCACAGAAATACAGTAAATACAATCACCAATCTACAACTGGTTAATCAGAAGTAGTTTTGTACTGTCACTCTGTGTAATAACGTTGCAGCTTTTATTTGAATACAAATTATTCTTGTAGATGCTGTAAGAACTAAAATATAGAACACAAATATGTATTTTTTTTTCTTTAATCTAAAGGCCTAACAGTAATTAAATGCATTAAACTCCACATTACAAGATAACCAACAACGCGGTTTTTTATCAGTTTTTGAATAATTGCAGCTGAAGAACAACACAGTTTGAGTTAAAATCCCTTCATTTATCTCTGCGCTCTCGCAGCTGCCGAGCTGCTGTCGGACCTGGAGGGAGCGTTTCAGGAGAAGATTGATGCGGCCTACTTTGACACAAGCAAATACCTGCTGGACGTTCTCAACCGCAACTACCTGCTGCTGGAGCACCTTCAGGCCATGAGGAGATACCTGCTGCTGGGCCAGGGAGACTTCATCAGACACCTCATGGACCTGCTAAAGTTAGACACTTTATAGTTATAGCATTTTTTTTGTTACATGTCTGTGTATGTTGGGTGTAAGTGTAGCATTGCAATATTAGATAGAACATTCAGTTCTAAGTTTCCTAATTGTTTCCTCCCAGACCAGAGTTGGCCCGTCCTGCCACCACTTTATACCAACACAACCTGACTGGTATCTTGGAGACGGCAGTCAGAGCCACCAATGCTCAGTTTGACAATGCAGAGATCCTCAAGAGGCTGGATGTACGCCTGCTCGAGGTAGTCTCCATAATGGTTTTCATTTTTTTTTTTTTATATGCATCTTGTACATTTATAATACGGCATAGTCATAGTCATATATCACCACGATATAGTTCCTCTGAAAGTCAAAAAATGTGTGATTCACAGTCTTTTCTTTCTACTTTAACCTCACCGACTTGTCTTTTATGTGCTTCAGGTGTCTCCTGGTGATACAGGCTGGGATGTTTTCAGTCTGGACTACCATGTTGATGGACCTATTGCAACGGTAACACACAGACTGTCTCCGATATGTCGTTTCTTATTGGCTCTTCAAAACAGCTTATGTGCATCTGGAAGCGTGTTAAGGTCCATTTATTGTGTTGTGTTTGCATGTCAGGTGTTTACAAGGGAGTGTATGGGCCACTACCTGCGCGTGTTTAATTTCCTGTGGAGGGCCAAGAGGATGGAGTACACGCTGACTGACATCTGGAAGGGACAGATGTGTAACGCCAAGCTGCTCAAAACCATGCCGGGTACGTAAACAAACGCGCATCGTTTTGCATCGGGAGAATTCCGTTGAAAGGAAATTTGGGGACCAAAAAAAAAAACGGTGTAGACATTGTCCACACTTGTCTTCTATCTGCTTTATGTAAACACAGCCTGCGGTGATGCTCAGTCTCTGAAATCTTCCCAGCTGTGTTGTGCCGAGGAGCACAGAATTTCTTTACACAATGTTTTTTACACAATCTGTTTAGTGCAATCTGTTTTTTTTTTTTTAATGAGACATGTAGAATAAAGTGATTTAGGTGAAATATCATCATTTAAAGCTTGGATTTTGTTAAATTTACTGACAGGCATGGCTGATTTGTTCAAGGATGGTTGAAAAGTTAGTTCTAAAACTGATAAATGGTGTCATTTTGGTGGTTTAGAGGAATAAGTTAGCTCACATCTTTATCAAAATTTCTGCAATCTACAGAAATGCAGCAACAAAATAGGCTCCAAAAGTAGGAAAAGTGCATTTTTATATATATAAATAAACCAACAGTTGACACACGATAGTAATATTAAGCCAATTAACACAAGTTTTAATGGAATAAACATCTGTAATACACTGAATTAAATAATATAATTCAAATCAGGGTATATAAAAAATGAGGCAGTTACATTAAAAGAACCTCTTCAATCATTTTTTATCATATCTTTTTTTTCAGTTGTGCTGTAAAATCTTATTTGTTATTTAACGTTTTGTTATTATTTGTGCTGCGGCCTGCATTAATGTCACCTGTCCTCGTGCGCTTTACCCCCCAGAGCTGTCCGGCGTGCTGCATCAGTGTCACATCCTGGCCTCCGAGATGGTCCACTTCATCCACCAAATGCAGTACTACATCACCTTTGAGGTCAGGCCATTAGCGGGTGCTGCTGCTAACACAGGGCTGTAAAGCATCAGTAAAAAGCAGCAATCACAGAAGGAGGCAATCTGCTGTGTCTGTTAAATGCAACGCTGCATGAGTCTGATTTACCGAAGCAACAGAAGCCTGGAAGTTTGTGTGATTAAGTTTGTTTTAAAAGCTTTAAAAAAAACAAAGGCAAAAGAACGCAAACTTTGAAACTAGTTTTTCTTTTAGGCATAGTCAGAGTATTGAACTGTAGGTATCATTGTTGAGTCAAGTCAGTGAAGTAAAGATTTCTGTGCTCATCTGATAAAATAATTATAAGAATTTAAACAAACAAACGTATCGACTGCGGGCAGGAAGACGCCACCTTGATATCTGAGATGGACAGAGTGGCTTTATGATATCTGATTTTTAATAAAAGTGCAATATCATTCCCTTATACGACTTTGTGGTTGTGTGTAGGTGCTGGAGTGCTCCTGGGACGAGCTGTGGAACAAAGTGCAGCAGGCTCAGGACCTCGACCACATCATCGCCGCCCACGACGTCTTCCTGGACACCATCATCTCAAGATGCCTGCTGGACAATAACAGCAGGGTAACACACGCTGGAGTTCATGTTTTGATAGTAATTCTTCTATCTCCCCTGTTGCACATGCATTTAAATCAACTCTGTTCTGTCTGTCCAGTCCCTTTTGAACCAGCTGAGGGCCATATTTGACCAGATCATTGAGTTTCAGAGCGCCCAGGACTCCCTCTACCGCTCAGCGCTGGAGGAGCTCACCCTCCGCCTGCAGTATGAAGAGAAGAAGCAGCAGAGAGAGGAGGAGGTAAGAGACGATTTCTGGGCTAAATACAGATGGAAAATTAACAACAGGAGCTTGTGTAAATGCGTCTTCTGATTCAGGGTCAGTGGGGAGTGACGGCCGAGCAAGAAGCAGAGGAGAAGAAGAGGATCCAGGAGTTTCAGGAAACCATACCAAAGATGCGCTCCCAGCTCCGCATCCTCACCCACTTCTACCAGGTACCAGCCACCACCATCACCTTCCCACCCCTGGAGCAGATGTCTATGTGTCCTTATCTATGTGTCTGTCTTACCTCTGTCCCCCTTATCCTTCTCTCAGAGCATCGTCCAGCAGTTCTTGGTGTTGCTGATGACCAGTTCGGATGAGAGCCTGCGCTTCCTCAGCTTCAGACTGGACTTCAATGAGCACTACAGGTTTGCCTTTTAAAACTCTAAAACATCCTAAAAAGTCCTCACATAATCGAATAAATTAGTCTCCTACCAGGTTAGACTTTAAAAACCTTCCCCTATATGTGTAAAATCTAGAGGACCATTTAAAACTCTGGTAAATAATCTTTTAATCTGACATAATCTAGAATAAAACTAGATTGAAAACTTCTATCAGGATCTTGCGTCAGCATCACTTACAAAATGAAAAATGAAATTTATTTTGCTCCAAACATATCCAGTGGCTGTCTTCAGTCACTTTGAAGCCTCCCATGATTTGTCGTCATGTGTTTGCTGCTCTGCAAAGTAGCTGTTTTCTCACACATTTGATATCCAGTAGTCAAACTGTGAATTTTGCTGGTGATGCACAATATTTGGGTTTTTGCTGATATCCTGTTTGCCAATATTTCCCTGTTTACTTTGGCCAGTTGCAGATATATGCACATATTTTGTTCCACCTAACTGCAGAGAAAATCTCTCCTGTAGTGGAATTAACATACTGTTATGCCTACAAATATCAACCTGTAGGTGCACACATAATATGTATATATACACTTTCTTTGTAGATGTGCACATTGACTCAGCAAAATAAGAAAACTGTAGTATTTCAGCTACATATAAAACTAAATTTGCTTATATTTATGTAGCATTTTCAAACAAAGCTGAAAACTTTTGGCCAGGGAAGTATTTTCTGCACATTTGTGTTCATTTTGAGCCAATGCCAGTATTTCATTTTAAAGCTGATGGTAAGGATGATGCTGAAATCATCACACATCACTTAATTTTAGCAGTGTGAGCTGGAAAAAACACAAGGTTATTCAGTTTCAGTCGGAGTGTGTGATATTTGTTTGGAACTTCAGCAAGTAAGACTGAAGGATCTGTAGCACACATGTCTGTTCACCACATTTTACACACTGTTGTGTGGTATAAACTACTCTCCAGGACCAGTTTTAATCATCATTAAGTTGTGTACTTTTACAAGTAGTATCTTTCTCTCTTCCTTGCACTTTAACCCTCTGATCCTTCAAACACACAGAGCGGTTTGAAAGGCATGTTGTGTTTAAAAAATTGCCCAAATTACACAATTTATTGGAGCCAGTAGCTGCGAAAACTAAAAGAATCGTCGGAGACCTTGAGCTGTTTGTCTGTGATGCGCTATTCTCTCAGAAAATAGAACCAAATCTAAGCTTGAAACTGTGATATTTCATTAAAATCACTGTATTTGCCATGTCTTATAATTTACCAAAATAGCTTAGTAGCTGTAAAGAGATTCTGTTAAAATCTAAAAATTCTGCAGCCGTGAAGCCACGACTGACTCAGCTTGGATCAGAACAGTCTGTGTTGACACAGAGCAGATAGGAGACAAGTCTGGAAGTATGGTGTTCTCAATTTTTGTAAAATAAATAGGAAAGAAATTCATATTTCATACTGAAAATAAGACATTTTTAATTTCTCACTGCTTGTAGTCATGGTTGTACTGTTTCCTCAGAGGTGCAGGACTTTATATTACAGTGAAAAATGAGCCCACGTTCAGTTAAAAAAATGTGACTGGAGCAAAAATTGCCCACAAACTGCGTGGGGGTTCCAAAGATTTCAAGTAAGCACAGCGTCGGTTAATGAACTGCTACCCACTGGGAGCGTTCCCCTTCGTTAATACACTGTAAATGTCAATGAGAGACTCTTTAGTGCAACACTTTACAGAGAAACCGCTGACATAGTTTTTATGCCCGTCTTTGTTAAACACCATATTGTAACTGACTCTCTTCAGGGCCCGAGAGCCGAGACTTCGAGCCTCACTGGGCGCCACCCGTGGGCGACGAATGTCAAATATCTGACACGGCGGCACTGGCGAACGAATATTTGTCACATTGGAGCACGGGGCGCGACATCACAGAGACTATAGCAGACTTTAAGCGCCTCGCGTCGGGATGATGTCATGCCTTGGAGGAGCGATCCAGCGCTGTTCTGGTACCACGGCAGCAGCGGCGACGGTCGCCAAGTGATGACATCACAGCAGACAGCTCCAACCGAGTCAGCTGAGCGGGATCGCAGAGGAGTAAATGAAACTTTGAGAGCTTGGTGTGGCGAGCAAACCCTGAAACGGAGAGCTTCAGCGAGATTTCTGCAAAATATGAATCCATTGTGGAGGAGTGTGAGGAGGTGAGAAACGCTGCTGTCAGACTGAGCTCCCCCGAGTCACACAGGGCCACCTTACATGGCATGCCTTATTAAAATGAGGAAAAAAAGCAAAACCTTTTTCTTCTCAGTGTGGTTGCCAAATCTAGTCCCAATGTATGTACATAGAGTTTATGCAAAAATGTATGCGTGTTGTTTATGCATCTTTCCACATCGACACCTGTGGCTTTCCATCTTCTCACTAGGGTTCGACCGATATGGGTTTGCTATTGATGTTTGTTTTTTTCAATTTTGTATCTGCAGCAGTTATTAAACTGCAATCAATTTTAGTACAGTTGTTCAAAAATAAAGCCTCTGCTGGAGTTTTGTCCTCATTAAGGTGGAAAAAAAAAATGAAATTTGCGCACTGAAAACTGTACGGACACACAAGGCTAGCCTTTGATATGTACCGGTTTATCGGTCTAACCCTAGTTCTCTGCACTCTCCTACTTACAATCCAGGGTTTTTTTAGTGTGTCAGGTCAACTTGATCACAATCATACAGGGGATGTGGAATTACACAGCACACACTCTCAAACAGTTCTGCATGAGACATGAAGACAAGGAGTTCAGACAAGAAGCCGACTTTATTATTAATTATCAACTTCTTCTTTTTTATTTTAACTAAAACGTTTGCCATCAGGTTCTGAGAGTCAAAGAAAATCTGACTTCAGACCAGTGAGATGACTCCCTAACTGAGACTTAGCCTTCAAGAATGTTACTAAGGATCCACTTAGTTTATATTTGAGTGTCTCTTCCCTTTATTTCCCTGCTTGGTCTGTGCTTTCATGTCTGTACGAGAGATGGATCATGTCAAAGAATACAATCCTCACAACAACCACAACAACCTCACTTCTTTTCACTCCATAAACCACAGGAACTATAAATGCGCAGAGTTTCTTTAGTAAAAATAAAACCATTTAAAAAAAAAAAAAAAAGTGTAAATATTTCTAAGTGAAAGTCCACGTTTAAATAATTATTTGTTATGAACTCGGGCGGTTTATTTTCTGAAAACGAGTATATTCAGACATTATACAGAAGAAAGCAAGCTAGTAGTCTATTTAAGTGAGGTTTGAAGATGATATTAAAGGTGACTTTATTCAGAATTGTAGCATCACTTCAGGATAAAAATAGAACCTTTATTAGTTTTAAAAGCTCAAATGGCAAAGTTTTCTTCCTGTTCTGTTCTGATCACTGTAACTTTTGGATTTGTTCATGTTGAGTGTATTTGGCTCTATACTTGCAGTTGTTCACCTGACCCAAACTATCAATCCACAGCAAAAAGCCTAAAATATTTGCTTATAGATTTAAATCAGAATATAAATGAGGGAATTTCTGAATCCAATTATGACCCAAACCTGAGCAGTGAAGTGTAAGTTCTCATTTGCTTCATAACTTACTTGCTGGATTTGGTTTCATGTAGTTGTCGTAAAAAAGCTCAGATGTTGAGATAAGAAACCAAGTTGTTTGCATTTTAATCAATAAATTATACAATCAGTCTTGACTGTTGTGGGAGCTCCGGTCCCGAGTCAAGGATCAGATGTTTTCAAGACAAAAAAAAAAAGGAAACTAGCAAGCCAGATTTAACATAATTGCTTGTGCATTTTGAAAAGTTACAGCTGGTTTAGTGTTATATGTTCACAGACATTAACAGTGAATCTAATTAGGACCTCGTGCGCCTCCTCTTCCCTCTAATTCCCATTTAACTATACACAATGGTAATATTTCAAGTGAAGTTTTGTTTCTTTTTTTTTAAATTATAAGTTGAGTTTCCTCAAGCAGTGCTGTTCAAATGTTTCATTGGTTCTGCACATTAACAAACTTACAGTATATTTCAGTTTTGTACAATATTCTTCCTCAGCAGCGTTACACAGGGAGTCCACTGGCGGATGTCCTCCAACATCCGCCCTGGAGTCTCTGTGCACTTCCAGCTATTTACATAAATGTGTGGTGCAGTGGTTTCCCTGATTTGATTTTTGACTTTCAGTTTTATTGTCAGCGAAACAAATCGGTGCTGCGTACGGTCTGTAGACCGCTTTACTGCTTTCTGACAATGAGTTCCTTCATATACGTGTGTAAAGAAATGATTGAAATGAAACTGGACCTGGGTCTGCTCTTGTGCTCTGTCTGTTTCTCTGTACTCCACATTGTATAGCACATAATGTATAGAAAATAGGGATACAAACCATCCCGCTTCCTCTTTAATAAAATGTTTTGTTTTTTTTAATGAATGTATGCTCGTGTTGTTTGACTTTTTGCTTCAGTCGTGCTGCTGCACAGATCTGCCTCTGGGTTGCTTGAACCTACTGCCACCTCCTGGCTATGACTTAAACACAATCATTGATCTTGTCAAGGTAAACCTTCCAGAAGAATCTCTGCTTTAATTTCAGCACACACATCACTGCAGGTCTTCTTCTCGTCTGGCCTGGAAAGATTCATCCAAAGCAGCTCTGACTTGTATTTCCAAAGTATATATTCAAAATGCGCTAATCAACATCAGCAGGTGTTGTTTTCCTCTTGCAATCCAATCTCGACGCGTAGAAATCTCGAGGAGTGCCCCTTTAATTGATGTTTCATTTGGCAAATCGTTTCTGAAGACTGAAATAAGAACCAGTCAAGACATACAAAATATGCCTCCTATTAAAAAGCAATTCATACATAACTAAGTAACACTCTGGCTTCACACCAGAAAATGTGAGCAGCCTGTTGTAATTACAGCTAATAGTGCTGCACTCTGTTGTTGTTGTTATGTGAGTGGAATTGGATATCCTGGTATAACCCTGTTTTAGCATCTACAAGGCACAGTTTTTGATATTTAAATAATTGTTGGTTGATGTACTTTTGTGACCTTTAGCCTTTATCACAAGAGACTAAATGCTTTTGTGTCAATCAGTAGTTCTTATTCTGTGGTATTTATGAGAAAGTCTGAGAGAATAACCCTGATAACGACAAGAGAAAGAATCATATTACTTGTGTTTCAGCCCCTTTAAAGTGACCTCCAGTATGTTTTACGATAGATTTCTAGATTTTGCTGATTACCTTTAAGGCCCTAAATGGCCGCTCTCCCAGCTGCATCTCTTACGTTACACACTTTGGACAGAGGTGTTGTCTGTTCCAGGGGCACCGCTGAAAGCAAAAAGGAGATAGAGTTTGCAGTCAGGGCACTGAGGCTCCAGAACAATCTGCTTGAAGAAATCAGGTTGGGTAAGTCAGTGACCTTATTTAAGTTCCATCTTAAAATGCACTTTCATTGGAGAGTCTTTCCTGAACATACTTGAGGTTTTTATCTCCTTTGAACCATCTTTTATTTTTCCAATGCTGTATCCGTTTTTCTCCTCCCGATAGTGTTTTCGACTGGTTTTATTTTGCCGCCTTGTAAAGCCCCTTGTAACTTTTCATGACAGTATATCAACCACATATTATGCTCTCAAAGGTCCACTCACTTTCGAACGCATCCCACAGTCTTCTGCAGCGAATCACATTGGCTCCGTTGTCACCATATGAGTTTAAAAAATAGTTCCTGCTCTTATTTTGCAATTTGTCTGGAGTGTGGCCGAGCTTTATTAAGTAATTTATGAACAAATAAAGGCACAAAAGCCTGAAAAATGATCCTTTTCCCAAAAAAAAGTACCACTATCATACTGCATCATGGTGTGACCATTTAATCAGTTTTGCACATCATCTTTGTGTTACTTACCAAGAACAGTGACACAGGTGAAGACTTTAACTGCGTTTATACTCATTTGTCATTTCAAGAAACCGTAATTAAATGCAATGAAAGGGACTTTGCTGTCACACCCGTATACTAAGCATGTATTTTAAACTGAACTATGCAAAAGGGGAACCACTAGAGGGAGGAGCAGCTTATCTTTTCCAGTGTCCATCCTCTCCACCATCAGACCTACTGTCTCATCGTCCTGACTGATCATTTTAATGTTCGTTGTAGTAACAGCATATGATTTACCTGTCCTGTGCAGTGCAGGTGTGGCCCAAGTTGAGAAATGTTCCTCTTCTCATGCTGTTACCACAAGGCCTCTTTCTACCAGAGGCATTACTTCTGTCTGCTTTCATTTCCTTTCAAAAACCAATTCTTCCAGGGAGTCACTCAAACTGTCGTTAGACTCACTGCAAATGCGCGCACTCTGTATGTCTCCGTGTAAATACCTGTTTACTTGTCCAGAGAGCCATCTCCTCAGGCCGATATAAAAACAGCCTCTCATCTTTGAGGGCTAACACTTTGAGAAAATTGTCAATTTGGGAAGTCGGAGCACTGAGAGGCTGAGTCGGAGCAGACTGACTCGGCGGATCTTTCTTCAGCTAAGTGTATAGAGGTGTTTGTCAGCGCGCTGGTCTACAACATCGAAATGGTTTCTGATCACTCAAGACGTCTCTCCCAGTATTCCCAACGCCCCTCATGTCATTTTTTCTCTCAGCGAAAATAGCTTTGCTCCGCTGACCTTTATATTGAGCAAGACCTCCCTGACAAACTGACCTGCTATCGGTTCATTCTCCATGTGTCAGTGGTCTTGAGAGTTTTTGACAGCCTCGGACATGTTCACTTGCTGTTACTGCAAGCTCCAGCAGCAGCTCCGTTTGACAGAAATGAAAAATACTTCTTTGCACTCTCCGTAGCCATTTTGTTATTGTACTGAAAACCGAACAGTCTAATTCTGCGTTACAGTCTTAATCAATTTAAGTAGATGTTCCATAAACAGCCAAAGCAAACTGATCAAAGTTAAATTTGTGATGCAGATTATTTACTGTTCATGCGTCTCAAACGTGTGTGTGTGAGCTCCCCTGTCCTCTACCTCAGTGTCCTCCTCCAGTGAACCTTCACTAATACCTGGCGAACAGACCCAGCTGCCCCTCACCAGCCCGAGGGCTCACAGTCACACACAGGTGACACTGAATGCTGGGAGTTTAGAAACCTTTGTGAAGTCTGCCCAACATCCATCCATCCATCCATGATCTTAATCCTCACTAGGGTCGCGGGGGGGCTGGAGCCTACAACATCGACAAAAAAAAACTCACATTTTATAGGCATTTTTTAGAGTCAGTTTATTTGAATCAGACATTTTTAAGTTGATGACATGATGAAACAAATGAAAAGGAGGATGACAGTCTTTCACATGAATGACAAAAGCGGCCTTTCTCATTAGCGACAGAAATTTGAAAGTATACATACAGTTAAACCCCAAATCCATGACAAATTTTGATTTATAGTGATTTTTTTATACAACTAAAAAGGTTTCTTCTGGCTGGAGATGTCATAAACAAGTGACAAACATATTTTATTATCAATAATTTTTGACTAATTTTACAATCATTTTAGCAGTTTTGCGAAGAAACTAAATTAGCCATGGCATTTTTTGAAGATTGGAGGGATGACAAGGACAGACTCCCGACTTCAAAGATTGAAAGATCAGTACAGGAAAGTATAGGTTCAGGTTTTGTGTTGTTTTTTTTTTTAGCAATTAGAAGAACAGTTTGCAAATAAACGCCATAGATTGCTGATGAATAATTTTAGACAGGGCGTTTCTAGTGAACCTCTCTTACATAATGTTCCTCTCTTGTCTCATCTATTTCTGTGATTTTTAGTCAGAGGAACCTATTGGTCAAATAGACATAGATTATAAATCAAACAATTAACTGCAAGAAGAGTAAAAACCCAACTCGTTCACTCAACAGCACATGGTGCTGTTAATGTGCCAGCCTTCTTCATTTCATCATCCTTTGTTTGTCTTTCAGCAGTTGTCACATTCTTTAACGTTGCTTGCTGTTACCAGGTGTTGATTGTGAAGATGCTGAAATTTCAAAGCTGTGTTTCAGCTTTCATTTCCCTGTTTGATGGGATTTTCTTGAAACCTGCAGCGAGCAGTTTTCCTCTCCCCCTTCTTGCAATAAGAGTAATTACACAAATGTTGTCGAAGCACGCTTGTGAAGTATGTTACTGCTGTCGATAATGAACACACTAAGTTGGCTATTATATGCTAATCAGGAGGCATCCAGCATTTGTAGAAGGATGTAGCACCTTTCAACCATCTGTTGTGACCCTGCCCAACAATCCACTGAGCTCTGAGTTTCTGCTGCGAAGTACAGTTGTTTGGTAAAGGCTTGGAAAGACATTATGGACTTCAGCTTTAACCTCCAACTCACCAAATAACAACAAATTCTCTACTTGGAACCACTAAAATATCCTGTTTTCAATCCAAATTATGAATGTTTTTAAAGGACACTTGACAGGAAACTTTGAGGCATACGATCAATCATCTAATCTGACTTTTTTGAAATAAAAAATTCATGGCAAAAAAACCCAAATCTTTCCCAAAGATGGTCTTCAAGAGTTTATTACACTAAACTTTTTATGATTCACGCAGGCCCCTGAAAGCATCACAAAAGTTGTTAACCGAAAGCAGGACAGCCAGTTAAACTCGGAGCCGAGTTTTCACGGAACAACAGGAGCATAAAGCCGACATGCGCCCCAGTTCCACAGCCAGCCGCCTTTTTATTCAACTCTGTTTGACCCACGGAAACAAAGCAACAAGACCAACTGTCACATTGTCGCATCCCATCATGCATTAGCCTCGCCACAAAATGCATGAATGCGAGCTTGCGGAATAGTCTGCCAGCCATTCTGCGCTCTCGCTTCTTCCCCATTATATTCTCCGTGAATGCCATTAAAGAAAAAGCTGGTTCATTTCCCCGCGACTGACTCAAGCCCTGATCTTACCGCCGTTCGACCTTCCATCTGTGTTTTAAGGTGAAACGGAGACAAAAAGAAAGAAAGTGTGTCTGTGTGTGTTGTCAAGCCAGGAACAGACAGCTGACATTTAATGGCATTTCTGGCAGCAGGTGTATTTGAGAGAATCTTATCAAAAGGATGAATTCTTGTCTCTCCTTTTCATCTCTATTGTCTCTGATGACTGCCAGCTGGAGCCACCGTTTGGCCTATACATCGTCAACGCAGAAATACAGAAACGCTGTGGCGTGCACACAACACAACAGCTACAACTTCTTTTTTTTTTTTAACTTTCTTCTCCTTGAAGGCCACAATCTGAAAAATCTTGCATTGTGTCCGAGACCTCCACGTCCTTTGTTCGCAGTTTGCTTTAACAAGAGTCTTGAGGATAGATGCACAGAATTAATTGGACATTTGCATTTGTTGGATTTTAATGAGGCTAATTAGGCCAGCAGATCGTACTTAAGTCGGATAGTTTCGCCCGTATACAGAACAA